ATTTCCGGTGAATTATGCTATATTTTTGAAAGCTAGCAATATGGTACAAGACTCCATTTTATTCTGCCCCGACCCCAAGTTTCAACCAGTCGTTCCGAAAAGTAGGGCGTGTGCTGCGCAGTATTTTATAAAACAAGGTAATTTTTGAATTTTTTCGTCTGTCCGGTCTTTCCCTATCACTTTTATTTGCGATTTTTAGCGACGTCCGGTCTTCCCCTTAATGGCCAATTCTTCATCATGCATATAAAAAATTATGCCTTGTCTTCGCACACGTTTTAAGCAAAAACTGTTGAGTTTTGAAAAGTAAAAGCTTCTTATAGCTAAATTACGTGTAACCATTAACGATTTGCTCCATGTTTCAGAAATCTGACGTATATGGATGTCAAGAAAATAAAGATTTTCCCAGACTCTTTTAACTAGTTGAAACCGTCCGGTATTGCCCCAACGCACCTTATACATTTTTTGTTTTGAAGTCGTTTTTAATTTTTTTTTAAAGTGTCATTGTTTTTTCTTTCAGGCGGACTGAGGGCTATCACAATTTCAAGTCAACGACCAAAATTTCGCTTAAAATTTGAAATTTTTAGTTTAAAAACTATTTTCTCACCCTAAGGGTAAAACTTGTGTATATTTTATACAGGGCTATACCTATTTTATAAACAAAAAAATCAATTAAACCATTTCCGGGAAATCTGTGAACATACCGAGTACATAAAAAACCATACACTTCGAATATACACTGGGTCTATTATGCTGATACCTCGAAAATTTGGTTGTTTTTCTATTTAACATATTTTTTTAAGTTTTATAGATTTCAAACCAAAATTTTGGTATATGTTTTTTGACTATATGACCTTGGATTGCATAAAAGGAAAACACGATATCATGTAATTTTAACGGAAAAAAATTGCAATGTAGGCTCTAATTAGTTACATTTCTCGATGACGCCACAATATTCTTACGAATAATTTAATGAAATTATTTTTAAGGCATAGTAAATAATCATAATATCTAAATCTAAATTCTCATAAACCAGTTTTATAATCCATAACGAAGTTTTGTTAAAATAAATAAAAATGTTGTTTGGCGCTTACTTAATTTTATTCCGAGCGCTTGCTCGGTAGGTATGGCTATCTCATAATTTGCGTACTATGAACCTATAAAGTCATTGCATCACTTTCATTTTGACACTCCCGCAGTCATCCGTTAGCTTCACCGACAAAGGAATAAGCCACGCCCCCAAAACTTCGATTCATTTTCAAGGTATCCTCTTAATTTCGTGAGGTGTTTTGGGAGGGGTGGGGTCCAGCCGAATCTCACCCAATCTCACGTAAGGGAGAGGGAGGGTCTCGTCAAATATCACGTAGTATTTTTCCGCAAGAAAATTGGGTTGGTACACAATAATATATATTATGCGAACTCCATAGATTAAATAATGGTGTAAGAAGTCTGGTTCTACATTTTGGAGATAGTAAAGAATTTTGGGGTTGATAATCGTGATGGTTTAAAACTTTCATAATATGGTGAATAGAGTCCGTGGACACCTGCAGGCCACATCAAACAAAGAAGGCTACAGATGCTTTTACTGGCTCTTTGCTTATACTCTCTCTATAACCTTGACAGGAACACAGTAGCCAAGCGTTATTGTGTCGAGAAGACATTGTTGGTCGTCAGCGGGATCACTTCCAAGAAGGCCAAATAGCTCGTCAAGCTTGGTATGGACGTCTTCGTCACAAAAAAGAAATAGCGCCTCACAAGACCAAAGCTATATAGTTTCACAAATTAACACAAATTAACAAAAATATAACTGACTCGTACGTCCGGATCTGCGGGTCTGAAGTCACAGTGGCGCAGTCCATGATCTACCTAGATCTCCAACCAAAAAGTTGCCAGGGCTTCGAAGAACACTCCTGCTACCTAATTTAGAAGGAGTCTCAAGGGTCTTTTTCATTCAACTGCTGAGAAAGAAACGAATACAACTTTTTCTATTATATTTATTAACTTTACACTTAATGGCGTAGTTACTTACAAACAAATATAATTTGTATGTATACAATAATAATTACTTAGTCTACATGAACAAATATTAATATTTAGAGAATATTTCTATTTTACATTAAATACGTAGGTAACATTACGCTTTCGATTACAAGGGGCGTTCAAAAAAAATGATAATACGTTATATACAACTCACCAACTCCTTGGATTTATAAAAGTTAATACTGGCTGGTAAAGGTTGGAATAATGGAATGTCAGTTAAGGAGTTTTGACGGGAACTTGAATTAAGAATAAAGGTGCTTTTGGAGGGAACTTGATCGCCGGTAGATTGTGGCTTCTAAATTATTGTTTAAATAATGGATTGAAGTGGATTTTGATACATTAAAGTAGTGCCATTTCGTGTATTAAATGTCTGTGCTTGTGAATGAAACAAAAGCTCCGATGGTGACGTAAACCTCAAGTTATTGTGTCTGCTCTGGCATTGGTCTTGACCTTAAGATATTATCGTCATCGTCAGTCAGTCGCGCATGTGAACTATTAGTGGAAACTTCGAAACAAGTGCTCGGATGTTGATATAAACATGTTTTCAATTATTTTGCAGGTGACTTGTAAGCAGATCATCGTGCCGCGGTACGTTTAATTGCTGATGAAACAAAAAATAAGTTGCGCACATTGAGCTATTATGTACTGCGTACTAGAGGCGACACTGCATTCAGCTACTCTGTTCCACTCAACTGCGGTTCATACACCGCACTTTAATCAGTCACTCGCTAGGCGCTTATAGAGTTGTCACGTGTTGTGTTGATTAAAAAAATCTCTTGATAAAAATATGCCGTCGTGTGTACTTAGATATTGCACAAATAATTCAAGAAATGTGAGTAAAAACCAAGGAATTACTTTTCATCGGTTAATAAGATACATAATCAATAAAAAGTATTATGCATTAATAATAAAACAAATTATTCCTAAGACGCCATCTCGTGTCAGGGAATATAGATTATTAAATTAATATGTTCAGATGGGACATTTCTGTGGGTACTTAAGTATAAGACGAATATAATAGTATACACATTTTTTTGTAGAAACATATATAAGTTATTATAATTTGGCAAAATTTTTCGTGTTTAAATCTGCTTATTATTCTTTTATTTTATTTTTAGGTTCCCACATCAAAGTCAAAGTTGTATAAATTCGTCCATTTTTAACTCTCGCGTGCCCAGCATTTATGAACGACTTTTATTATAATTTAAATAAATATATTTGTAATTTAAACGTTATGTTAATAAGTTTTGTTAAATATACATTTAGTATGTTTTTTATATTTGACTTATATACCTTTTAATACTTATATATTTTGATAAAAATATCATTAAATTGTAATTATGATATAATATCATGTAATAATATATGAAATAAGCAAATATAACATACAAAATAAATAACAAAATTTAAATACTGTTCTCGATATAATTTACCTATTTAACAATACAATCTACTATTACCTACTGGTCATTCTATCTATGTTTATTCTATGATAAAAAAACAACCGCGCGAACACAGAGTAGCGCACATTTTTGTTTGAGATAGCTGTTCTAGTACGTAAGTACATATTACTTCGATGGTTGCGCATAACATTTTACACTAACGCTTTGGGTACCCAGATGCACCGACACTAAACTATATTTTTTCCGAGATTTTTTGGAACTGTTATTACAAAAACAAGTTCCAGTTTTTGACCCAATTTATAGCATTGGGAGAAACTTGTCTTTACAATTACAATCCCGAAACAAAATTATGGTCTAAGCCTTAGAAAACAAAGACATTTCCAACTTCCAAGAAATTTAAGGCGAGTACTTTTGTCGGAAAGTAGTAGAAAATAGTAATGGTTTCTCCACACTATGCTCCTCGCGCTGCTCAATGCTCTGATCCCTGCGCTGCCGATATGTTGCCCTCTGTCCACACACTACCGTGTGAGAATCCCCGTAATTTAAATTAAAGAAGCATCTGAGAAGACAGATATTTGAAAAGGATCAAGTATTAGTCTCTTCTGAATAAAAATGTTCAGGTGATTATGATGAAGTGTTATTAAGGAAAGGAATTTTAACCCTTCAATCCCCATAAAATTCCCATGCAGTCACATGCACCTGGCAAATCCCGAGCGGTCGCAAGCGACGGGACGCACTTACAGCATTTAAAACCATTAAAACTTATATTTAGAGACTACTTTTCTATGAAGAAGTTTGGCGTTATAAAATCTATACATAATTCTTTATCTTGTGGTCTAAACAAAAGTCAGGTTTTACTTCATTACAAAAAATAATACTTAATACAAAATAGATTTTATTGTATTTTGATAACAAATACCTTCAACAATTTGATAATATAATATCACGCGGATGTCGGCAGCGTGAAAATCACAATTATTTCTATATATATTAGTCGAAATTATTTACGTAAAAAGATAAATTATATTCACACAAAAACTTTTATAAGAATTTTATAATAAAACACTATAGTAAAACACTAATAAAACACTAGGAAAATACAAAAATCAACACACCAATATCCAAATGAAAATGGCGTACGTAATGAACGTAGAATATAAATTAATATCCATAGACTAACTATTCTCTACTAGGGGATAGAAAATTTCATATTGATTCTATAGTGCCAAACTTCTTCATAGAAAAGTAGTCTCTAAATGTAAGTGATTATGGGTTAAAGTGCTGTGGGTTGGTGCGGTCATATTTGACTGCTTGAATTTTGACGGAATATCGAAGCGGTCAAATTTTGCCGCTTGGTGTTTGAGAGGTTAAACTTAGAAAAAAAAACTTTCAATGTTAACTAAAAATCTATGTCATAAATATAATATAATAAATATAACACTCAATAAAAGTTACCTGTAACATACTCATCCTCACTTTTTAATGAACACCCCTAAGATACATTTAATAAAAAAGTGTAACACTACTTCATGAACCTGAAGATAAATAAATATAAATTATTCATTCATCTGGAGGTTTATAATCTGGCACAACTTGCAATACTTTCTCTCGCCATCTTAATTTTCTGACCTCTTGTTCTCTTTTTAATGCATTTAAAGCAGGTAACGTTCTCCAGCACGTGAACGTTTTGAACAGTAGATTGCTGTAATATTAAAATATCAAGTTAAATTTCTTTTAGAAATTACGCAACGTGGTTCAAATTGGTAATATTATATAAATACTGTATTAGTGAGTATAGGTGGCGTGAAGTGGCGGTGTAAGGATCTCTACTACCCCATGTCGTCCCGTGGGGAATATGAAACAGGTAGTGGGCAGCAGAATATTCCTGGTAACAATTCAAAATAAAAAATGATGCGGTTGCTGGAAGTTCACCATAGTTGCCCGCCCGCCAAGTGTGGCAACTATGGTGAACTTCCACCTGTTAGGAAGTCTATGGGGGGAGGCCATCACTGGACTTTTATAGGCTGTAATGGATGGATGGATAAGCACAGGTACAAGCTGTGTCAATTAATTTCTTTGCTTCTTCAAGTCTAGTTTTTGAATACGTTTAAATCCATAAATACACCGATAACCAAAAGCCAAAAACTTTTTTGGGGTTTTCGGTTTTACCGTTACCCGTTACCGTTCGTCCCTATTGATAATACTACTACACACTGACCGAGGCCAAAGTATCACATCTATGTATATATTTGGTGTGAGAACTGCCTCGTTTGTGTCGTGTGGTCTACTGATCACGTGGTCCTCGGTTCGAATCCCGGGTAAAATCAGTTAATAAGTTTTTCTGTCAAAAATTTTAGTAGCAGCCTGGAACCTGGAAGTTAACGTTGTTTCAACCCCTCTCTCTCGGAATGCGCATAAAGCCGTTAGTTCTGCGCCTGATCTCTTCAGTTATATGAGATTTCCGTCCCATCGGTTTATGAGTAGTTATGTAATAAAAACTTTACATGTGCTTGTGCACACAATCCTGCATTATAACCATATCCTGGATGGCTCTAGCGCAGGATATGGTTATAATTATATATATATATTTTTATATATATATATATATTTGTGTACATGTACTATAGTATTCTATGGTGAAGAAATAGAGAGACATAAGTGCTCGCTCTATTTCTTCGCTCTCATAGTCCGATTGGATGGTCAATCGGGAGACCGGAGAGAGCAGGAGCTACGGGTTTACGTACTTTCCGTGGCACTGGGGTGGAATATGACCAACTTTCTGACTCCGGGCTGCTACTGAGAATTTCTTGACAAAAACCCAATAACTAATTTTGGCCCCACCCGGGGATTCGAACTCGAATCTCAATAAATCACCAACCGCGTTTGCGACCGATAGAAACAGAATGCGATGAAACTTTACGAGCAGATAGAGAGCAATATCAGAAGAGATGTAGGATGTATTTTCAACCGACTTCAAAAAAAGGAGGAGGTTCTCAATTTGTCTGTATTTTTTATATTTGTGTTACCTCAGAACTTTTTTTATAGGTGAACCGATTCTGATAATTCTTTTTTTAAATGCTGGTGTTTCTCATGTTATCCCATATAAATTTGACCAAGACAGTTCTTGATTAAAATTATGTATTATTATTTATATACTCAAAAACCACTGGTTAGTACCAGTAGTTTTTGAGTTATCCTTAATAATGTGTATCTGATTGACTTCGACTACGTTGATGATGTTCTCATTTTTTTTAATTGACGTCGGTTGTATTTTTTTTTACCACTTAACTATATAATTGTTTTGTTTTTAATTATCTTGAATCTAAATAACGCCATATTAATTGATATAATTTATATTGATATATTGCATTCTCACCTGTTGTGATACAATACAGCGTTATACATCTTAATTTTAAATTCTTGCTTCATCAGTTCAATGCCTTCTCGGAATTTGCGAAATACTAATTGTGTTATGTATAAATCGTAATAATCTTCAGCCACCTGAACTTTTAATCTAAATTCGTGATGGTTCTGAAATAAAAAGATAAGTGTTTTCTTTATAAATATTTCTTACGTATCTAAAATATGCCCTGGTAGATACTGTAATAAATACAGCGGTTGTCAACTCCAAGTGTGGCAATGCAAATAAACCCCTATGAGGCAATATATGGTTTTATATTCAGCAGTGGACTTTTTGTAGGCATAATGGTATTCAAATATACATACCTTTTTTAAACAATCGAAAGCTCTGTTCAATATTTTCTTTCTATAAAATTCTTCGGCTTTGTAGTTTCTTTCAAACCACATATCTTCCGTATGCCACATCCAATGCAAAAATACATTCTTCTTCAATTGAAACACGTAATGTGATCTGGCTTTTTCCATATTCTCTCGCTTGATATTCAATACCCGTCGTAACGGATTTATTCCGTATTTCGCCATAATTTTCTTTTCATAATGTAAATCTGCAAGAACTGCAAGCGCTCTCATTCTTTCAGCATGTTGTTTTTTTCTAATATTTTCTATTTTTTCTCTCTTCCGTTTCTCTCTTAATTCTTTCATTCTTTTTAGCTTCTCTTCTTTATCCATATCTGCTTTGGCTAATTCAGACTGAAACATCCCATACGAAATTCGATCAAACCAATATAACACAATGTTAATGAAACTTATATTATGATCCAGCATCGACTACGCTCGCCAAATCGAATCGCAACAACTCTCCTTCTACCTATGTATTTCCTACGTAACAACGTCGATTAGCAACGAGTCGCGGTGCACTTTAATAAAAAAACGTATTAGTACAAGAAACAAATGCAAGTCAAGTCGACGAGCCAAGATTCGATGCGTTTTGGCTAGGCATAAAACATTTCATAAATAGCATGTAAAAATAGTGCAGGGCGGCATCCCAGGCCCCCACTTTATGGAGCTACTACTTAGAGATGCAGGAAGGCAATAGATGCTGGTCGTTCAGGGCCGTGCTTTGTCGCAGGTCTACGTTTATCAGTGGACATATGATGGCCTGTAATAATGATGATGATGATGCTGAAGATGAATGATTGAGCACATTTTGTTATATTTTGCTCCACTTGATTAATTTTTGGTCGATTATTTAACCGACTTCAAAAAAAAGAGGAGGTACTCAATTCGACTGTATGTTTTTTATGTGTGTTACCTCAGAACTTTTTTTCTAGGTGAACCGATTTTAATGATTCTCTTTTTATTTGAGAGCTGATGCTACTCATGTGGTTCATATAAATTTGATCGAGATCTGACCCATAATTTCTGAGTTATCCTTATGTATTAAATTTAAAATTTTACCACTTGGTCACTTGTAGTCTTAATACTGTCGGAGATAAAAGAAAACAAGTGTTTACTGTAGATATAGGTAACCTATATCTAACCTCGACTAAGAATCAAAATACAGAGTTGTTCCCCTGAGGACTAACGGATGCCTCGTTACCGGTAAAAAAAGGTCTCTTTAATGCAAACACTTCACATTATACTGCTATTTTACGCCGATATTCTGCCTCTATGAGCGTGGTCCTTTCTCAAGTCGACCTATTCTTTATTATTTGAAAATGACTGCCTCGTTGGTCCGTGGTTGTAGTAGTGCGACTGCTGATCATGAGGTCCTGGGTTCGAATCCCGGGTCGGGTCAAAAAATCAATTATTAAGTATTTCCGTCAAGAAATTCTCCTCAGTGGCTGCCCGGAGTTAGAAAGTTGGCGGTGTCTTACCCCCGTGCCTCTTGCCGTTGGTCCTGTGTCTGATCTCTCTCCGGTTGTGTCGGTTTACCGTCCCATCGGATTATGATAGTGAGGGATTAGAGAGTTCACTTGTGCTTGCGCATGCATTAGGGCACTATAATCCTTTTCTGCGCTGATGGCTAGTCTCCGTTAAGGCAGGCCACCAAAACTCGGTCTGGAGGACATTATTATTTGAAATATGCCAGTATGTTATCAATAAATAGATTAGCAGTGTGAGGTATAATGATGGTACCGATACGTCTAATTGACTTTACGTGTATACGTGTCACCCAATGATAAGATCATTGGTATCACCTGCTGCTTTAGCCTGATTCGCTCTTCTTCCATTTGTCGGCGTCTTTCACGAATCATTGCATGTTTTTCTTCGCGCTCCCTTGCTCGTTTCTCCATTCTTTGTATAAACTGTGGTACTTTTAAACATTGAAGTACCAGTGATGGTTCTGAAATTATTACAATTTAATTTTTTTATCATACACGCAGAACTTATTTACTGATAGTACATCGTGATAGCGATAATTATGTCCACCTAAACTTTTTATAGACCGGAAACCAACACTTTGTGTTTTTACCTCAAATGTTGGCTCAGTATGTCATATAATGATCATTTCTAGTACGTTTTACATTTACGTTACGCTAAGACATTGCGATTTACCATCTAGGGCCTTCATCACAACTTACCTCCAGGTGGGATTGATACATGACAAATACGTCCTTTACGTGATTAGAACTTCTTATTAAAACACAAAAACAATTTCAGATAAGTATGTAATACATTTCGATTAAATCAACGATTTAAATTATTTTTATTTCTTTATTCCTATTTTTTATTACATTACTCGTATGCCTCCCGATCAATGAGTTAACAATCTTTACAGGCTTTCTTACCCTATAGCTGGCAAACTCAAATGCTCTGAATCATTTCTTAATTACAATTTTCAGTATAAACAACATACACATAGGTATTATAATTTATAAGATAGAGCTGCCAATTTTTCTATTTCAAATATAATGTGTTCGAGACTATTACCGATAAAAATATAGTAGATACCGAAAACATAGATAGCGTGATGATTTGGTTAGACATGCAGAAAGTTAATGGATGCAGATAACTCGATACTGGACTTTGTAGCGTTCCTTGGAGTAAGCCAATATTCGGCGGTAATTTTGTGAAGGGCTGTATTAAATATGATAATAAAGTTAAAGATACAGCCTAGGTATATACGTCCCACCACTGGGCACATGCCTCCTCTCACTTCTGAGAAGGTTTTAGGGCAAGGTAATAAAAAGTCCGTGCTACCCCAATGCGTTTTGGCAAACTTTGTTAAGATGATATTAATCATGTTTCAATTATATATTATATTTTACTTTGATTGAACGTTCAACAACAGCCATTCTAAAATATAGAAGTTTGACATTTTTTTTTGAAATTTAGTGTCTGGGCCATTTATAAGTACATGTTACAGTAGGATTGGTGATAATATAAGTGAATGTACCTTCTATTTCTCGTATCTTAAGTTCATTGGTCAAACACTTGATTTTCGGTTTAAGCTGTCGATCCATTTGATAGTAAGTTTTACAGACTTCTTCTCGCATCGTATCAAGCGACTGTTTTGACGATTCTATTATTTTATTATACTTAAGTTGATCTATAATTTTAGTTTGTTCTTCTAATTTCACTTTTTTGAAGGGCAATAATGTTTTGTTGCACTTTATATCTGAAATAATACCTATAGCTATATAAATATATAATAAACTTAAATGCTTTGAACTAATCTAATACTGGCATCCAATAAACTTTTATAAATTTTATGGAGTAGGCAATAGTCTGCCAAGCTACTCCAGTGCAGGACAATTGTTTCGTTAAGCACCTAAAAAGTTTGATAAAAAATGTGTGTGTTTACTATGTATTTTTATGTAAACAGTGCACCAGAATAAATCGACAACAAGCCCAATGATTAAAACAGTAATTAGAGAACCCGACTTCGATAAAGTTTACTATAAAGAGAAATATTTTATACTCTACGACAACGACACACCATTAGTTAAAATCCATAAAGCCATTCAGGCTACAGAGCGTGCCAAAGAAATAGAAAGAAATAGGTACACGCAGACACTATAAAAACATTCTTCTTCTGGAGCAGTCGGTTGATAAAAGTAGAAAACTGATATTATCAGTTGAACTAAGATCATCTCATATCATCATCTCATCATATTATGTATTGATAATAATTATAATATTATAAAAACTTACTTTAATATACACTCGTACTATTTCATACCTGTGTTGATATGTATTGTAATCCCGAATATATAACTTCGCTTTAGACTGCGGTGGTTGATTAATGTTACTCTTCTTCTTTGCAAGTTTATCAAAAAAGTTAGTAATGGAAGTTTCTCTTTGTCTAATTTGTTTCTTTTTTTCTACATGATCCTTCCATTTCTTAACATATTTTCTACATATATAATTAAATCTTTTTTGGATATTCGTTCTTATTGGTACAATACATAAAAGATCCGACATTTCGCTATTTTCTTTTTTCGCAATTACTTTTTTATGCACATAGTCTTCATCACATTTATTTTTAATAGTTGTTTCTTTATCATAAAGATAATCCGCTTCAATTTTGTTATGATCGTCATTATTGTCAGTTTTAGAATTAATTGCCATCATTATTAAAAGTGATTCTAAGTCAGTACGAAATTCATTTATTTCGTTAACAGAACTTGATTTCTTATCATCAACATCACCATTCTTTTGTTCTTTAATATTGTAATTAATATCTAAATCATTATTAAAATAATTATTAATATCAGTCGTTATTTGTTCGCAATTTTCGCTTTGCTTTTCAACGGCATTAGTAAGATCTAAATCTTCGCCATTGCGCACAACTGTATTAAGTTCATGTCTATCATATATTTTTTTATTGTCAAATGAGTTTGACTGTCTAAAAGGTTTAATTTGAAGCTTAAAATTATTACCCTTTGCCGAACATTGTGAATTTTCATTGTTTGGTAAGTAAGACACAACTTCATTATTGATCGCTTCACTGTCGTGTTTTAAAATCTGTTTCCAATCCTTACATTTTATATTTTCGATCTTCTTCATTGCATTTTTGATGTTAATGTCATTTCTCAAATTAAGATTATTAAAATAGTTTTGTAATTTCACAATTTCCTTGTTCATTTTGCTGTTGGCCTAGAAACATTGGTTAAATGTCAAATAGTTATTCAATATAAAAACAATATTGAAATAACTTTACCCTTAATTTATTCGTTTGCTGCAGGTATGTTGAGTTACTATCGAAACTCACGGGACAAAATTGTAGTGCTAGTAAGGTAATAACTTAACAACCCAATAAGACATTTTAGTTCTTTTTTCTTAATGAAGGAATGCATTTCTTAATTCGAATATTTGAATAATTTTTTAAGATCGTAATAGCATAAATTGTATTTCATCTATATGTACTAGAAATTAGTAGTATTTTATTTGCAGTATAAGTCGTATTTGTAGTTTCCCATTAAATCTAATATTGTAAATTTTTTGATGAAAAAATGCTAGTAATCAGGAATAATAAAGGTTTTCTTGCTGTATTTAAAAAAAATTGAAGTTTGCCCCGTTGAAGCGCTAGCGATGAATCGATTTAAACTAAGAGCAAATTTAAGAAATTAATCCAACATTTTGTATATTAATAATTAAGCAGGCAAAATCGCACTATATAATATAAAATAATTACGCACTATATAATATTAATTAAGCGTAAAAGAATTCATCCCTCATTTTGTCCGTTGGGGTAATACGAAAATTGCCAGAAATTTTTTATAACTTTCGATAAGGGGCGGTCTCGATTATGACGAATGTAATGGAGATTGTTATACCTGCTTAGATCAGCGAGACCTGTGTAGATAAATCGACAGTCATCCCAGGTAGCATGAACATTTAAGAAAATCGTCCCTACAACGGGAGAGGCCCATGTCCACCTGGAAACTTTCACAGACCAATAGATAAATATAATAATTTTTTTTTCTAAAAAAATAAAAACCGTTTTCAAAACTTTAATTAAAATACTAAAAAGTTTAAAATAATAATTTTTGATTGCTAACTAATGAAAAAATGTGTGTTACTTTATTTTTGAATTTTTATGTTAAGCTAAGAGTTTTAAGTACTTGCTTACATACTGGATGACCTTTTCCACCGTCTGGAAAAAAATAGGCTCTAACATGTGAACTGAGTAGTAGCCTATGGCACTGGTTTTTTTAACAAAAAAAAAATAAAAACAACAATTTTGAACAACTGTTAAACAAAAAGATAGTGACAACCATGCAACAGTAGGCATTTATGTCCCGTGCAGCGCGGGATTTATCCTACTATTCTGTTTTTCCGATGATTTTACTGCGCGTGCGTGCGCGTAAAGTACAATCCGTAAGAGTTATTCGGTAGGTAAAAACGTTGTTGTCCATAAATCACATTCAATTTGGAATAATTTCAAATAAAAATAGAAGCCCTCTTTACTCGTATTTACAAAAACTGCAATAACGGTATATCATTTTTTATATATTTGAACTCTGTTCTTTGAAAAATAATCGTATATTGAATAAAACTATTATTTACGGATTTTTTCGCGTTTAATTACTTTAATTTATTTTTATTATTATCCCGACGTTTCGGGTGCTTTACAGCGCCCATGGTCACGGGGGGGACTCTCCCCCCCGTGACCAAGCACCCGAAACGTCGGGATAATAATAAAAATAAATTAAAGTAATTAAACGCGAAAAAATCCGTAAATAATAGTTTTATTCAATGTATAGTGTTCGCGTAAATTTAAGAAATCATTAAATAATCGTATAGTATTCTGATCTGGTTGGGCTGTATATGTATATAAAAGAAAATGATACATTTACATGAATAAATATTAGCTTAAAGTAAATAATAGAAAATGAATAGATCTTTTAGCTGATTTTTAGTTGAAACTATAAGAGGTTTAACGTCATCGTCAAGACAAATTATAAGAACCGGAACATGCTACAAAACTTTATCATGGAGTTCCCACCGACTGTCTTCATTTCCCACTACTAGATCAGCTTCTTGAGCCATCTAAGCTACGGCTAGTACCAAGTTTCACTAAAATCACCGGAAGTCGGTGAAAAATTACTTTCATACGTGGTAGAGCCATGCTGCAGTTATATTAGATGTGTAGTTGTAGCACGAATGGGTCGGCTCAACCGGGGAGGGACCACGCCCTCACAGAATACCAGCGTGAAATAGTGGCTTAATGATGCTGTGTTTCGTATGGTGAGTGTAGAGAACCGGCAACCCATTTTACTGGAAACGAGGCATTCCATCTTAGTCCTCACGGGTGACAACACATCTGCGTTTTGATTCGTAATCGAGGATAGATGTAGATGTCTGTGGGCCACAGCAACCACTTACCATCAGGTGGACTGTGTGCTCAATTGTCAACCTATCCTATAAAAAAAAACAACACGAATCTTCTTCTCTTATTTTCCACTCGCAGTGCCTAAAATTGTTTCTTCAAAATGTTATGGGGCTACTCTGGAGGTGAAGTCTACTTAGTAAAACAAGAATTAATCGATTTACAATATGCGAAGATATCATAGATATCATTTGAAATTCCTTAAACCAAAATGATACTTTTTCTACTATTTTCCACCCTTAGGGGTGAATATTTTCCTCAAAATTAATGAAACTACCCTGAAGGCAAAGCTTATTTGATAAAAAAAGAATCATTAAAGTGGATTCACAATCCCACAAGTCCCATATGAAACTTTCCCCCTATTTTTCACCTTTAGAGGCGAAAAATTTCTTTAAACTTTAATGGGACTATCCTAAAGCTAAAGCTTATTTAATAAAAAAGAATGATTAAAATCGGTACACAATCAGCGAAGATATCGCGTAACATTACATACAAAAAAAAACATACGCTCGAATTGAGAACCTCCTCCTTTTTGAAGTCGGTTAATAAAGAAGACAGAATTCACATAGTGTAAGCACATAAATATATTTTTTTATTTATCCTTACCTACTCTATATTAATCTATTCAATGTTGATAGTAATTTTTATATTCTATTTTATGATTAAATTTGAAAATAGAAACAAACATTTTTTTCGGGAAATATTGAACTCATAAAATTATTATTTTATGAATCAAAAATGTTACAATATTATATTGTTCGCATTAAGAATACCTCATGAAATATAGTTGCTTACCTAAATAAAATACCATATACCATATGGTACATCCACGATATCAAATGAAACTCAAAAAATCTCTTTTTATCTTTTTAACTACAATATTCCTATATAATAATAATCTATGACTACGACGTATTGATTTAATAAATTGTAAGGCGCAAACAGTTTACGTTACTTAGGAAACTGCATTTCAGAGAACCTTCGAGTAAGTATCAAATTCTGGGGCAGTGGTGGCGATATAAATTGTGGAGTCGTTTCATTGAGCAGGAAGTGGTGAATACTATAAATTTTAATCGAATAGATATCTATATATTTGTTCCACGCAATTCAAAGCGAACGTACGGTATTGCAATAAATTAATGTAACTTCTAAAAAGGGCTGACGTTGTTATTGGCTCTTATAAGGTCTGTTTTAACTTTTAACAGCCCACAGCGATCACGCCGATCACATCACATATGTAGTTCAAATAAATGGCGCTAGTTTTTTCTAATACGGAAACGTACCTATCACATCAGGCAATTTTATTACTTTTGAAAACTATTAATAGATGATATCTTTTGCTGTATTGTACATTTTTTCATTACATGAGGGTTGTTTATTAACTTTTATTATTTCAGGTGTTTTGGTAAAAACGTTATCTTAAATTAGGTACAAAAGAAGACACAGTAGCAGCATATTCTAACCGACTTCAAAAAAGGAAGTGGTACTCAATTTTACTGTTTTTATGTGTGTTTCCTCAGAACTTTTTTTTAAAGGTGAACCGATTTTGATGAGCCTTTTTTATTTGAAAGCTGGTGCTTTGGTGGTCCCATATAAATTTGATCAACATCTGATCAGTAGTTTTTGAATTTCCCTTAATAATGCGTATTTAATTGGTTTCAACAACATTGAAGATGGTTCTCATATTTATTGAAGTCGGTTGTACAAAATTTTTAATTTTACCATTTTTTTTAAAATATTTACTCCAGGGAAAAATCGTCAACTACCAAAAAATATTGGAGTATTTCGGTGTTGTATACTAGGTACTACGAGGGCGGCACTGAAAATTTCGGGAATCAAGGAAGTAACACATTACTATTTAAAAATGTATTTATTGCTTTTCGAAGTATTCTCCGCGAAATTTGACACATTTTTCCATACGATGGAACCAATCATTGAAGCAACCATTCCATTCGGAAGTTGGGGTCTCCAAAATGGCCGTTTTGTAGGCGTCCACAGCTTTTTCAGGTGATGAAAATCTCTGTCCACGCAATTTATTCTTTATTTTAGTGAAAGTATAGAAATCATTAGGGCTTAGGTCGGGGCTGTACGGCGGATGGTCTAATAATTCTATGTTTTCTTGCTCTAAATACTCTTTTGTTCTGTGTGCGGTGTGAGAACTCGCATTGTCGTGATGGAGGATGATGCGGCGGTTGCAGTTCTCTTTACGGAGTTCAGAAACGACCTGTGGCAAACAAATGCTAGCATACCAGATAGATAGAGATAGAGGAATAGTCGTAACATGGCCGGTTTTGGAGACAAACATGGCCACCATTTTTTTTGCAACACTCCGTGAACGAACAATTTTTGTTGGCTTTGACTCATTTTCGAACACCCAAACTCGTGACTGGTTTTTTGTTTCAGGTTCGTACGCGTATATCCAGGATTCGTCACCTGATACGATGTTGTATACAGAATTTGAGGATCCTGCGTGGAATCTTTCGAGAGTTCTGACGTTACTTGGTGTAACGCGAGCCGCTTTTTGCTCTTCACAGAGCGAATGCAGTACCCATCAGGAAAACAACTTTTTTACACCTAATTTTTCATGCAAGATTATTTGTATTTGACTCATGCCAATGTCTAAAGTTGTCTGAATTTCGTGGTATGTCACATGTCGATCTTCCTCAATCAGCTT